TTTTTTTTTTTTTTTTTTAGGCAATTGGGGTTAAGTGATTTGCCCAGGGTCACACAGATAATAAGTGTCAAACGTGTGGCCTGAGGTTGGATTTGAACTCAGGTCCTCCTGACTTCAGGGCTGGTGCTCTATCCACTGTGCCATTTAGCTGCCCCTGAAGCTGTGTTTTGAAGGAAGCCAGACAAACTAAGGAGCAGAGGTGAGGGGACAGAGCATCCCAGGCTTGGAGGATGGTCAGTGAGTACAAAGCCATAGGGTAAGTCATAGCTAAGTAATAGGTAAGGAACAGCAAGCAGGTGGGCCATTGTGGCTGGGAGTAAGGTATAAGAAGGCTGGTAAAATAGGAAGGTCTGGGGTTTTAAATGCCAAGCAGAGTTCATATTTTATCCCGGAGGTACTAGGGAGCTATTGCATGTCACACCTGGGACGCCTTAAGAAAATCATCTTGGCAGCCGAGTGGAGGATGAATTGGAGTGGGGAGAGATGAGCTAATTAGGAGGTTATCACAATAGTCCGGGTGTGAATCAATCAAGGTTGAACAGGTGTAGTGGCTGAATGAGTGGGAGAGAACAGTCTTGAGAAGATTTGGCAAGAGAGTGAACATGTGGGATTGAAGGAGATAGCGGAATGGAGGCTGGCACGGAGGCTGGGAGCCTGGGTGACTGAGGGGCTCAATCAATCAACAAAATGAGCACTTCCTTTGTGCCAGGCCCTGTGCCAAACTCTGGGGATTAAAAAAAAGAAAAGCAAAAACTTAGTTCCTGCCTTCAAGGAGCTTACGTTCTAACAATGGAGACAACATGCAAATAACTATGTTATTTACAGAGAGTCAATTCCAAAGGGAAGGCACTAGGCAGGGGGAGGGGAGGAGGGAGGAGAGAGGAATGGGGAAAGGCCTCTTGTACCTCTTTCAGAAACTGAATGAGTTTTCTTAAGTCTTGTAGACAGTCATGATAGAAGTACCCTGGACAGCAGGAGGAGAGTTCAAAAGAGGGAGAGGTTAGGGATAGAGGTGGGGGGCAGCAAAGCGAAGATCGTGGATTCTGTTTTGGACATGTTGAGTTTGAGAAGCCTGTGGGGAAATCCAGTTTGAGATGTCCAAATTGTATTTGGTGACATAAGGATTGAGGATCAGCAGAAATACTAGGGTTGGATAAATAGATCTTGGAATCATCTGCATAGGGGTGAGGGAGCTGGTGAGTCAGTCAATAAACATTTATTGAGCACCTACTATGTACCAGGCACTGTGCTAAATGCTGGGGATACAAATTACAAAAAGAAAAACACTGCCTGCCCTCAAGAAGCTTGTAATCTAATTGGGGAAGACAATACCCAAAAGGGGATGGAAAGTGGGAGGGTGGAGGGAGATAGCAGAGCCCACACCAAGTAGTGCAGCTGGTGAGAAATGCAATTGCTGGCATGGGAGCCCCTCTTTAAAATGGAGGCTTCGGGAGTTCATTGCTCTAGCCCTCCAATCCAAGAGGCATAGGGTACTTAGGATGCTGATGAGGTAGGTGTGAGTACCAAAGCTGATGCAATCTCCAAGGCAGAATGATGAATTTCCTGTTACTGAGGCTTCCAGGGAGCATGATCATGGTAGAATCCAGTCCAAGGATTGCAGGTGGTAGGAAATGCAGAGTCCCTCAGTGATAATCTAAAACCAGCTAGAGATCATCAGGTTTGACCCTTTCATTTTGCAGATGAGGAAACTGAGGGCCGAAGAAGGGTAGTGATTTATTTATAGTTTCCTACCTAATGTACGTCAAAATTAGGATTCAAACTCAGGTCTTCTGACTCGAAATCCATTGTGCTCGTGACTATAAAATCTATGCATCATCCTTGGGCGGGAGGTGGCAGTAACTGATAAGGGGACCCATTTCAGGACCCAAAGTGAGAAGTAGTGGAACAGGGGGCCCCAGGGAAGAATTTTCCTGGAGCTGGGGTACCAGAGCAACAGGAAGATTCTTTCTCAGGCTCCAGATGCTCTTGGCTGACACTCTAAACTGATTTGATTTCCTAAGGGTTTTCCCTGTTTGACCCCCCTCTCCTCCATTCTTTGGGTACTAGCAAGGGAAGAGACTCAACCTCAATCTTTGTGACAGTCCTCCCAGCCCTGAGGCACTAGGACCAGGAAATGCCAGCCCCGGAGATGCTGAACAGCCCAGAGAAGGTTATAGCAATAGTGCTGCAAAAGGTAGGCCAGGAGTCACCATCAAGGTTAGCCCTACCTATCAAAAACACATATGTGCCTCCTACATATATGGGCAAGGCAGGGGGAGTCTATACCAGCAGCAGCTGTGCCATGAGGCAGCAGAAGGAACATTGGATTTGGAGTCCTAAGACGCGGATTCAAATTCTGACTTTGCTACTTACTAGCTGGGTGAACTGAGGCAAATCATTCAACTTCCGTTTTCTAGGTGTCTTAGAGACAGCCAGGAGGTACAGTAGATAGAGCACTGGACATAGAATCAGGAGGACCTGAATTTTAATTCTGTCTTAGACACTCGCTAACCGTGTGACTCTGGGCAAGAACAGCCTCAGTTTCCTCATCTAGAAAATGAAGGGATTAGACTAGATGGCCTTTAAGGTGCTTTTCAGCTCTAAATTGATGATCATACTATGTCACTTCCTTTCCCTGGGCCTGGGGGTATTTCCCCCAGAATAAAAATAAGGATGATGATACTTGTGCCACGGGCCTCAAGTCAACGAGTATTGGTCAAGTGCTTCCTATGGGCCAGGCCTCCAATCTGACCTCAGATACTTATTAGCTGTGTGACCCTAGACAAGTCACTTAACCCTGTTTACCTCAGTTTCCTCATCTGTAAAAAGAGCAGGAGAAGGAAATGGCAAACCACTCCAGTATCTTTGCTAAGAAAACTCTGAATGGGCTTACTGTCAGATGACTGAAAAGACTTACTGACAGCAGATATGCCCAGGCACTGGGCAAAGTGCTGAGAATACAACTACAAGCAGAAACATAGTTCCTACCCTCAAGGAAATTTTATTCTGATGGGGAAAGACAACAATACAAGGGAACTAAAAAGGGAAGGGGGGAAGGAAAGGAAAGAAAGTTATTCTCCACCCTTGAACCATGAGCCATGTTTGTGCTGGGTGGGGTTTGAAGTGAACCTGTGGTTGGTTGGCCTGGATAGTTCCTCAAATATTAGTTCCCAGAAGGAACTCACCCAGGGGATTTTCCAGGGTAAGAAGGCAGCTGAAGCATGGTGGTAAAGAAAGAAATAAGCGCTTATGTAGCACCTACTATGTCATCTCATTTGATCCTCACAACAACCCTGGGAGGTAGGTGCTATTATGATCCCCATTTTACAATTCTGGAAACTGAGGCAGAGGTGAAGTGACTTGCTCAGGGTCACACAGCTTAAGTGTCTGAAGTGGGATTTGAACTCAGATCTTTTTCTGAGTCAAGGCCCAGTGCTCCATCCACCGTACCACCTGGCTGCCAGAGAGTTGGCTGCTAACCTTATAGAGTTGCTCTGAGGAAGCCTTTTTAAGCCATAAAGAGATCTTTGAGTAGGGGCTTGAAGGCCTATCTGACAGGGATGTTACAGTGGGGATTCCTGTTCAGGTAAAGGCTGGACTAGATGGTCATTGAGGATGGCCCTTCCACCCTGAGATTCTGTGAGTCTGTGCCATGGTAAAGGGAGTTTCTGCACCTGTGAGTGGATAATAACAGCTAATTTTTAAGGTTTGCAAAGTACTTTACATATGTTTTCTCAGGCACTATTGTTGTCCCTGTTTTACAGATGAGGAAACTGAGGCTACAAACGTTAGGTGACCTATCCAGGATAACACAGTTAGAAAGTGTCTGAGATGGAATTTGAATCCAGGTCTTCCTTACTCTACATCTAGACCTCAAACCATTACAACAGACTGTCTTTGGCTGTGGGAGATTTTAAATTGCTCTTGTCTGCTCTCCCATCTCTCACAGCCAGGGAGGAAGTAAGGAATGAAGGAATGAATGAAGGGAAGGAGAGAGGGAGGGAAGAAGAGAAGGAGTAAGTGAGGGAGGGAAGGCAGGAATGAAAAAAGGAAGAAGGAAGGAAGGAGGGAGGAAAGGAA